ATATGAATCTGCATTTTGTTATAAATGTAAGTAATAATCTTTCAGAGCTTTAGCTCTAGATAAACAAAATTTATTAATACTGTAGAAATAACCACCGGCTTAAGATTTTGAGCAGCTCAGATTTAAAACATTTAATAGCATGTAGATATATATAGTATTGAATTGATTTTTGTATTGTTACGAACTTTTGCAGTTTGTTGTCAAGCCACGCATTTTTAGTTACATGAAGTGTTACGTATTTAACTATTTAGAAAAGGTAAATAGCTCTAGTCTAATTGAAAATATCCCTTCAGAATATAGAGAGCTTGATATCAGTGATAGGAAACATTTATGGGCATGCAGCTAAATATTGCTAAAATGGAGCTGTTTTAGAGGTTCCTATATCTTAAAACCTTTAAGGTCTTCGAATATGTTACTGTTGCAAGAATTGGGATAATTTATTTATTTTAAAAGCAATTACTTCCAACTTTTAGCTGACTACATAATATAGCTGCTTTGGGGACTAGTAACCAGAACGTTTATGTTACTGCAAATATTTTTATAATTTAACCTGATTTTATGCGTTCACTTCATGTTTCCACCTTGCGTGCACAGTTTAAAACATTTTGTTGCATAATTTAATCCCATATTTAAGAGCCCAGTGCAGTGCAGCCCGGATCGAATATTAAAGGAAAGCTAAGCCGGAAAGTTAAAAATACAAGAGCACGTGCATTTAACATTTAATTAATAAATATCTCTTTTTAATTTCTAGAAAGTTCCAGAAAATTCTCGCGCATTTAGAAAGCTTATATAAGCGGCATGAAAACCTCTCAGTTCGTTGTTGTTAGTTAGTTTGTTTAGAAAACTGCTGTTGTTGACGGTAACGAATTCGCGGATTAGCTTACTCTAGCTGTTTTGAATTAAGTTATGTTGAACGTTTGTGTACTTAAAAGATAACTACTGTGAGATATTGTAATACTGAATGAATATCTGAGAAAATTTAAGCATTTTGTTTTACTTGTGATAATAATAAATTTTTTTCATTTTTCATCGGACTTGTGCATTCAATTCAAACGAACCCGTACGCATGCAACAATTTTTAGTGTCAGAAGTGGGATTTTGAAGGTTAAAATTCCATAAACGGGGTGAGCGCAAGCTTGGCTAGAGTTTTTTATTTGGCGCGATTTTAATTTTGTTGTGGTTTCCGGCTGTATGTTTTCTTGTGGCTTTATTTCGGTAACTGTAAGAGCGCGAATTTAGTGTAGCCAAATTTTTTTTAAATTTAATTTTGAAATACTGTGTTTCTTTTTAAAAGATTTATTGTTTAATAGTATTGTTATATATATATGTTTAATATTATATTTATATAAATATTTGCAGAAGGTTAAGCTGTTGTTGGTGGGAGAATGTTGGGTTTCATATGACATGAAGTTTATAATTTATGAATGTTTTCATTTAATTTTATTCAGTTGATTTTCTTTAGTTTTGCTTCTTGCATATGGCAACCGAAAGATGTGGAATATTTAAAGCTTTGAACGAAAGTTGTTTAGTGTGTTGAATTCCACGACGATAGTAACTTGAATATTTTAGTTAGTTTAATGATGCTGAATACGCATAATTTGCTATTCTGTTTACGTGTAAAACTGACTTCGCAGTGCTCTGATCTGATAAGTGTATACATTTTACTCAATAATTATTTACAAGAATTGTCATTCTACTATTTTATGATGAATTACATATATATAGTACTATTCTTTTACTTGCAAAGCTGTTGGACTTTGTTTTACTCATCTAGTATTTTATCATCTCATTTTACTATTCTGTTTACATAAAATAACGGCGTTTCACTACTGCAAAACTTAAAAGTTACTATTCTGTTTACGTTTAAAAATCACATTTTAGTACTTTCATTTAGCGCGCCTAAAAAATTCGCCAAATTTTGAAGGCCAAAATAGTTTGGCGCCAACTTACCCCACTTATGGAATTTTAGCCATTTTGAATGTCAATTACAAGAGCGATGGAAGAACAAATTCAGGCAAATGATGACTGCATTTGCTGCGGTGCTACTTTGGTAGACGGTTGCACGGATGTTTGGCGATTTACGTTGGCGCGGTTTTTACAAACGTCAGCCATCTTGAAAAACGCTCTTTTTAAGCATAGTAAAGTATTCGAAATTTAAAAAAAAATAAATATCGTTAAATAAATTAATAAACGCTGTATTCGCTGTATAGTAAAGTATTCGAATCTTAAAAAAATAAATAAATATCGTTAAAACTAATGGATTAATTTTTTGCTGAAAATGTCGTTCTTTAAGATGGCAGGCAAGTGTAAATAAATACATTTACTATGAGTATAAAATACTAAAGTAAGGTTATTATTGCTTTCATGTATCAAAGAAGAGAATAAAAACACCGCTATAAAAACATTGGGCCAACGTTTAATTAGATTAAAATATTACTGAAATTGAATATCGAATTAAGAACCATCATACCAACATTTGAAAGACTTAGAACATTGTTAAATTCAAATACTTTAAAATACGTTAGATAGAATATAATTAACATTAAAACATATGGACAATAATTATCTCAGCAATTTTTGAAAATAGTGTATTAATTTTTTTTAACAAAAATTGAAGTATACAATTATAAAATAAAAGAAAGATATGTACTTACATTTTTTTGAGTCATTTAATCTGTTGTTTATTGATAAGTACCACAAAAAAAATCAGAATCATAATTTAGATAACATCTTTGAAGACATCTTTGAAGGAATTCGAAGATATGAATTAATTTTAAAACGGCGCGGAAATGCCCAAATTGTCAGTAACCAATCAGGGAGCTGATTACAGCTCGTCAATGCACATATATTCTATAACCAATCAGAGAGCTTGTTCTATCACGGCTAGAATTAAAATTATTTAAAAATTCATACATAATAAAATCATTTTTTTTAAAATGTAAAATTAAATTGTGTTTTAATATTTAACAGCCATAAATAATGTTTAAAACATTAGATTAAATTTATACATATTAAAACGAATTACTTTTGAAGTAAGGTGACGTCATTGATTACATCATCCACAGCATAAAATTCATAAAATATGATAAACAATAAAATTTTTATTTCAAATAAAAATTCAAAATTAAATTGATTTTTAATATTTAGAAGCCATAAATAATATTTTAAACACGGAATTTATGCACAATAAAACACATTATTTTTTTTAATAAAATGACAACAAAGTATCGGTTACCATAAATAACTTATCCAGCAATGGGTTTACCATAAGTTGTATTACTCGCCAAAGGAAAATCGCCAAAATCCGTGCAACCGTCTACCAAAGTAGTACCTTTGCTGCTTTCCAAGAAAAGATGGAAGGGGCCGTAAACTCCGTTAAGGAAGAAATGAAATTGGGACAGGAATCCGTTAAGGAAGAAATGAAATTGGGCCAGGAATCCGTTAAGGAAGAAATGAAATTGGGCCAGGAATCCGTTAAGGAAGAAATGAAATTGAGCCAGGAATCCGTTAAGGAAGAGATGAAATCCGTTAAAGACGAAATGAAAAGAGAAATTACCTGCGTAATAGAAAATAAATTTGAGGCTATGAAAGGCAGAATAGACGCGGTCGAAATTAAAGTTGGACAAATTGAAGAAAACGTTTATTCTGTGAAAGAGCAAATAGAAGACAGAGTTTCGGCCGTGGAACAACAAATAGGTTACAGAGTTGATACAGTCAAAGAAGAAATAGAAGGAAGAGTATCTACAGATATATATCTTAAGAGGCGAAAAAATTTCATTCATACTTCAACAGTTTTCTTAACAGTTCTGTGTGACTCTGAATCGCCCCTTTTAAAAATATTCTTGTTTTCTGGAAGTGTGTATTCTTGCTTGTTGAAGTGTGTATTTTTGAGAAAGTTTCATGTCATTTCATTCCATAAATATCATTCAAACCTCTCAGCTTTAAAACATTAAGCCTAATCGTCACAGATGAAATTTTATTTTCAAAGCGTTTTGCATCGCTGTGGTATTTTATTTCAAATAATTGAATAACTTCAATAGGAAAAGGTTGTAGTTCCTTAATGCAGTTTTGGGGGATAAGAATTATTTCAAATTCAAGAAGTCACTATTTGTCAGAGAGTGGGAAAATTTATTTCTCGCGTCATTTGAGAATTTTCATTCTTTTTTTCGAGTTTCGGGAATTCCGAAGTATGAAGAACTACAGTTCTCAAGGGTCAAATACCCAAATTTCCAGTACAATAATTGTAATTTCACGAAGAAATGAGTGTAAATATGGAACATTTTTTTACTTTTTAAGCTAGAAAACATAAAAGGGATTTTCTCAGATTTTCCTCACACAGGATTGCTTTATAATGTGTTTGTGTTCTTTTTAATTGGATGAACATGTAAGTTTTCAAAACCTCTAGTCATTTCAACATAGTATATTCTAATACTTAGAGGAGTCATTAAAAATATGGATAAAATTTCTAAAAATAAATAACAAGTATGTTATAAAAATAATTAGAGAAATTGAAAAATTTTGAAATATTTCAAATGCATGACCACCATAAGAAGGACTCACTATTATTTACTCAATAGATAAAAATTAAAACTAATTGCTTAATTATTGGAAATAAAATTCCAAACTGCTTTTGTGTTTTCCCAATAAACTTCACTGAATCACTTGTAAGTCTCGACGCCTACTCTCATAACCCCTGGCACAAAGTAATCCATCGAGTTTTGTCCTTGAATGTAACAGATATTTAGTATAGCAGTTATTGAAATACGTTTCATACGGAAATGAGTATTGCTACTATCTAGAAATACACTCACGTGTATGAAATATGTTATTGGACTTCTTCTTTCTAAATAATTTCCCATAAAGATTATTGTTTATGTGACTTGAATACCTTGATGTCAGATATTCAACTGTAATGATGACAGATCAGACACATTTCTTTCTTATGGTAATGAACAGATCTCGAGTAAAGATATTAGAGGGCTATTTATTCCACCACTTACTTGTAAATGACAAAAATGAATAGAGCTGGTATCAGGAACAATATAGACACTGCATATGTGACGATGTGGAAATACTGTAGCCTGCGAATACCCTAGAAAAGTAAAGAGTTGATTAGTAAACCAAGAAGACGATAATAATAAAAAAAATCTGAAAGGTTTCAGATTTTAAAGGTCGCCAAAAAGAGTTTGTTAAGGTTTTTTTATCCTCTCGCTGAGCTCGCAGTCTATCTATCTGTTCTGGTACTCACTCCTTGTAACTCAATTTTTAGTTTCTTGTCTCTATGTAGCTTTATTATTAAATATCATTAACTTCTCATTTACAGCATATACAATTTAACAAAAAAATCACAAAAAATTAGAAGTACACAACAGTACGTTTAGAATCCCCAATGCAGCGTTGAGTGTTGGCATACATTTTTATAATTTTTTTCAGCCTTTCCTTAGTTTGTCATATCAAAGTTCAATTTCCTTAATAAATTGGCATATAAATTGCTTTGCCTTTTTATTATTCATGTTTTGTGTATTAATTTTATTTATTAGATGTCACTTTCCTCTCACTTATGCCACATAAATTTCCATTCAACGGCAAAATCACAAAATATTAAAAAAAATGTATATCATTAGAATTTCGGACAGACAATCTCGCGCTTTGAATGTTTTATTCCGTACAGTGTTGTCAATGCACGCTTTCAAATGGTTGCATTTGTTAATCAAAAATTCATAAAATTTAACAAAATATGAAATATAATTAAAAACGCACGTGACGTCTTTCTATGAAAATATTGAATATTTTTAATTAAATAGATCACTAATTAAAAGCATTTTTTATCCCTTAAATCCATCCGATTCAAAATTAAGAAAGGAATATTCTTAGGAACTGCCTCTATTGTTTTCAAATATTCTAGTTTATTAATCCACAGAAGAAAGATTCAATTTGAAAGATAACTATCCAAAAGGCAGCGCACTCGAATGAAAAGTGTTGTACGCATTTGTAGTGATTAGACGCAAAATCCCATTTCGAGACTAGTAGCCGTTTTGGGTTAATATTTAATGATTTCAAATGAACAGATATACCTTAACGTATAGTGGATTCGCTTCTAATACAATACAATTGAGTGATAAAACCAGCCACTATTGTTTGATTTATTTGTAGAGACATTAGGACTTTTTTTGAAGCAGGAGAGATGAAAAATGAGCATTGCCCTCGCCGAGACTCGAACCTGAACCTCTCGAATACGCGCCGAGTGTGCTTACCGTTACACTACGAAGGTATGCTGGAAGGAGGGAGAAAAATACCTTATATACTCTCCCCTTTTAAATGGCTATTAGAGATTAGGGAACGCATTCGCCAAATCCTGGTAATGAAGAATCATCTTCCACCACATTTTTAGTTCGGACGCTACTGTAGAGACATTAATTTATTCTGAAGCAGGAAATGTGAAAAATGAACAATGCTCTCACCGAGACTCTTACCTGGACCTTTCAAATAAGTGCCAAGTGGGCTACCGTTACACCAGGAAGACATGCAGAAAGGAGGGAGAAAATATCTTATATACTAATGGTGCAATAAACGCTGTGTTTGCGGTATAAATACTTCGGTTTATGATGCAGTAACACATTCATTTTTCAGGCATTGTATGTTTACAGGAATTTAGCTTTTAATTTTTTTTTGAAAAAAATCATATCTTGACATGCAATCTGATTCAATCGGCTTATTCTTGAGCTGCCTTCATTGTCTGAATATCTTTCTCTCTAAGATTTAATGTTTTATAACCTTTTGTTATAACTAATGCACAGCACTTGATTTATTTAAATAGATTGCTGTTGCCTGAAAAAAAACGGGACTCAAGTCTATCTCCTTTAAAACGCACAGAATATTTTTTTTTGTAAAATCATCTCAGTTTAAGATTGAATTTTATTGAATTTTGCAGAAACTTTAATCACGTGATTTTCAATATTCCAAATTTTTATATAATACTAATGGCGAAGTTTTAAATACTAGAACAACGAATTTAATTCAATGAAGGAAATTTATAGAAATATATAATATTCCGTACGATTAAATTTACAAATGAGAGAGCTTTAACAATGGACAAAATTATAAATATTATTATAATTATATTTAATATTATGGTATTTTATAATCTTAAATAATAAATGCAATAATACGTACAGTTATGTCAGTGGCTGTTTAAGGCTCGGAGATCATAGTAAGGCTATCATTTGCATAATTTCAACGTAAGAGTAACTAAATATTTTATGCATTTTTATACAGCAACATAATACATAACATTTTATTCAGCAAAATTCCAATTGTTTGGAGCTCTAATCATCCAAATGTTTTGTTCTTTTCTCTTCACCAAGTAAAAGTAAAATTTGTGGGGATGAATATGTATAATATGTAGATTAACTTAATATTTTCATGAAATATGTATCACGTGAACATTAATGAAAAACTAATTACCGATTGAACATAGATTTATTAATTTTTGTTTACTTTCTTAGCCATCGTTTGGGTAAAACAAGTACTCTTGTACTGTAAGCAAGCATGGTTACACATGTAAAACGTCATGTTGACGCACCCTATTCCACTCTGTGAACTTTAATTCCAATCAGCAAATTAACATTTGGTTTACTCACATTTACCAAAATTGTGTAATGAAAGTGCAGTAGTATGTTCTTAATGAATGTAGAAGTACATTAATAGAGATGAGTCGAAATTTAAAAATGTTTAAATTAATTACAATGTCATAGACGAAACATGGATAGTTAATCTTTCTCCCACTTCTGATTTTTGATCGTTCTTATTTGAGAGAGATAATTCAATTAATCTGCAACACAGGTATTAATAGTGATGTGATGAATATTTCTTTTTTTATATTTTATAAAAATTTAACGATGTTTTTTAATCATACATTTTTTGATACAGTTATTAGGTTTGAACCATTAGATTAACATTAAGAGTCTACTATATCCCATTAAAGAAAGAGCAATCAGGGTATAGAATGTAAAATTGCGAACAAAGTTCGGCTTTGTATTTGAATCTAAAACCTGAAACAAAGCCAGCTTAGCAAACATACTAAAAGAGAAAATCGTTTCTCTCTCAGCTGTAATATCACTAAAGTTTTGTTAAATCATTGCAGCATGTATTTAAACAATATTCGGTATTATTATTAGAATATTAATCGGTTATGATATAGAAGATGATTCTGTTATAATCTGCCTTCTTCATATTGATGGTTATAACGAATTAACATTTTTATCTGTATTTTTATCTTAATGAGCACGGAAAGTCTTAAATTTATCTGAAGTCTGGTTAAAAATGGATTAAACTGTCTTCTTATTTAACTAAATGATTGGCCTTCTAATGCAGCGGCCTATTACATAACCCTAGTATCTAGAGTAGACCAATCGATTATAACAAATCGACTAGTTTTCGACTAACTACTTGGAAATTTTTATGATCACCACATATGCATATGAATATGAGCCATTTTCTTTAGAACATGCGCCATGATATCTTTTATTTACCCAGGCAGGCTTGCAAGCACTCGAATAAATAAGGAAGAAAACTAATAGACAATTCATTAAATGCACAAAAATTATTAAAGCATTATTAATGCACAAAAATGGCATGCAATCATTCTTCAATGCTGTGATAGTATAACAAAATACTCGTATATTATTATTCTTTTTAGTTCAACAGTATATGTTCTCTTTGAAAAACATCTAATAATTTGTGTGTTCATAAAAATGGCAATTATAGCGTCTTTAATTAATTTCTAAATTAAATAGGGCTGTGTTTGACTATTTACTGAGAGCATCGTTTGGATCGGTCTTGCATTATCTTGGAGAAATACTCTAAATAAATGGATTCCATTCTCTCTGAAATCCTAAAAATGAAAATAACTTATGTGGTACAAGATGTTAAATACTAGTCAGGGTTACGGTAACGGATAAAACATGAAAAGAACACATTTATAATTTCATGCATTAGCATTTGAATCCAAGAATTCTTTTATACTTTCCTCTTATAATTCTGAACTTTGTTGTAAAAAGAGGTCCCTATGGAATTTTCAGTAAGGATTTCGTTTTCTAAAACACAGAAGAAATTATGCATGGTTATTTTCAGCAACAACTGTATGCATCTGGAAGGATCTAGAATCGAAGCCATTCTCCTTTTAAAGTATACAGAATAATTTTGCGATGCTGTGACTGCTGATAATGACCCAGTTGAAGAAACTGATAGTAATCAATCAATGAAAGAAGACATGAAGCCGAAACTTTACTTGAGAGTTTAAAGCAAACTTTCTATTGACCTATTAGTTAAATGGCATTATATTTTAAGCAAAATAAATGTTGCCAATTACACACGAAAACGAAATTAATATTGCCAATGATAAACGGAAACGAAATTCATGTTGTAAAACATAAAAATGGAAAAACCTATTGCCATATTATAATTTAGAAATTCTCTGTAAAGCTATCGGATATCAGAAATTGTGAATCATTTCAAAATGTTTTATTTATGTTACAGTATTGACAGAATAGGTTGTAGGTGATCCTAATTTAAAACCCATACTTATATGTACGAATGTGTATCACAAGAACAAACCCGATAATGAAGCAAATTGTTAGCTATTTTTGATACCAAAATTAAATTTAAAATTAAGATACCTTTATTGATGGGGAAATATTTTCTAACCATTGAAGTTTTGCAGGTAGAATATCACAGTTTTGTTAATATGTTGCGAATTTCAATTATTAATATGTGTTTTAAGTTATTATTATTCTAATAATTTTATTTATATTCATGTGTATTTTAATTTGAAAAAAAAAGTATTCTTAAGCTGTTAAGGCTTTATTTAACTCGTTATTCTTGAGTAGGAATTGTAACAAAGGCGAGAGACGGTTGCGTGAAAACACATCTGGTTTATTGGTTTATGGCCTTTTTACTAACAGTGGAGGCAGTAGGGTGTTGTGTTGTCGCCTTTTACAAATGGCGTTTGAAACGAAAATCGTCTTGCTTTCGCTTTGTTGTAGATGCAATCTTGTTACTTCAAGACAGTGGGGGGTGTACTAAGTTTAGGTA